CATTAGCAATGAATGAGGAGAGAAGTTGAGTAACAGAATGGGATGTTGTGCTTGAAGAGGTAAAGTGGCATAACTTGCAATCCGAGACTTGCTGTGAATACCACTAGATATTGCTTAAGATTATAGGTATACAGGGTAGACCCAAAGGAAGTCTTATGGAAGAACTGTAAGCTCTTATACAGAAATGCTCATATTGCCTCTCTCTCAGTAAGGAGTTTAATGGTTTGGGAAGAAAATGTATCTAGGTTTCCTTGGGAGTTTCAGCTCCAGATTTTTTCCTCTGCTAGGGGAATAGCCTCTTCTGGAATACTCTTGCTAGTGACAGATTTGCTATGTGGGATTTGATAATGAGGATCAAGGCCTCTCTGAATTCTCAGATACTAATTTCTCTGATTCCTCAAACATCTTCAACACCTGTAAATTTGGATACACAGCGTGTCTGTTTAGGATGGCCGACTGCTATAGAATCATAGAAATATAGGGCTGGAAAGAACCTCAAGAAGTCATCAAGTGCACCCCTCTGTGTTGACAGAAACAAGTAAACCTAGCCAACCCCTGACAGATGTTTGTCCAACCTGATCATAAAACCCTCTAATGATGGGGATTCCACAACTGCCCTTGGAAACCTGTTCCAGATCTTACTACCCTTACAGTTAGAAAGTTTTCTCCTAATATCTAACTCAAAATGCCCTTGATGCAGATTAAGCCTTCTTGTCCTACCTTCAGTAGACATGGAGAACAATTGATCATATTCTTTATAACAGCCCTTAACATAATTGAAATCTTGTCAGGTCTCTCTCAGTCTTCTTTTCTCAAGTCTAAGCATGCCGTTTTTTAAACCTTTCTTCAGAGATCAGATTTGCTAAACTTTTTATCATTTTTGTCGCTCTCCTCGAGCCTGTCTTCAGTTTGTCCACATCTTTTCTAAAGTATGGCACCAAGAATTGGGCACATTACTCCAGCTGAGGCCTCACCAGTGCCAAGTAGTGCGGGACAGTTACCTCCCATGTCTAACATAACAACACTCCTATCAAATATCAACTCAGAATATTAGCCTTTTTCAGCATCACATTGTTGACTTTTTCAATTTGTGGTCCACTATAACCCTCAATTCCTTTTAAGCAGCACTACCACCTAGCCAGTTATTCCCCATTTTATAGTTGTGCATTTAATTTTTCTTTCCTAATTTTTAACTTTGCACTTAATCTTTATTGAATTTCATCTTGTTGAATTCAGACCAATTCTCCAATTTGTCAAGGTCATTTTGAAGTCTGATTCTGTTCTCCAATGTGCTTGTAATTCCTCCCATCTTGGTGTAAATCTGAAAATGTTATGAGCATACGCTACAATCCATTATCAAAGTTTTTAATGAAAATATTTAATAGTTCCGGACAGAGGACAGATCCCTGTGAAACCCCACTAGAAGTGCCCTATAAGTCTGACAGCGAACCATTGATAACTACTCTTTAAGTCTGGTCTTTCAACCAATCATGCACCCGCCTTACAATAATTTAATCTCGATTGCATTTCCTTTGTTTGCTCAGGAGAATGTCATGGGGGACTAAAGACTAAAGCCTTACTAAAATCAAGATATATCATAGCTACTGCTTTCCCTCTATCCACTAGACCAGTAATCCTGTTAAAGAAGAAAATTAGGTTGGTTATTCCTTATAACTATTGTCCTTTAGATTTTTACAAACTAATTCTTTAATAATTTGTTCCAGTATCTATCCAGATATTGAAGTTAGGCTGACTGGTCTATAATTCCTAGGGTCCACTCTGCTCTGCTTTTTAAACATAGGTACTATGTTTACTGTACTTTGTCCAGTCTTCTGGAACATATCTTGTCCTTCAGGAGTTCTCAAAGATAACTGCTAACCATTTTGAGATTGCTTCAGATAGTTCCTTAAATGCCCTAGGATGAATTTCATCAGGCCCTGCCAAACTGAATACATCTAAATATTCTTTAACTTGTTCTTTCCCTATTTTGGCTTGCATTCTTTCCTCCTTGTTGTTAATATTAATTGTGGTGAGTATCTGGTGACTATTAACCGTCTAGTCTGAAGCAAAATAGGCATTAACCATCTTGGCTTTCTTGATGTTGTCTGTTATTAGCTCTCCTTCCTTGCTATATAAAGGACCTACAGTTTCTGTTGTCTCTCTCTTGCTCCTGATATATTTAAAGAACCTCGTCTTATTGCCTTTTATATCCCTTGCTAGGATAATTCACTTTGTGTCTTAGCTTTTCTGATTTTGTCCCTACATGCTTGTGTTGTTCTTTTGTACTCCTCCTTAGCAATTTGTTCATGTTTCCACTTTTTGTAGCTTTCTTTTTTGATTTTCAGGTCATTAAAGATCTCCTGATGGAGCCAGACTGGCCTCTTACTATTCTTCCTCTTTCTTTCGCAATGGGATAATTTGCAGTTATGCCTTAAATACTGTCTCCTTGAAAAACTCCCAGCTCTCCTGAACTCCTTTATTGTCTTAGATTTCCTTCCCATGGGACCTTCCCTACCAGTTCTTGGAGTTTGTTAAAGTCCATTATCCTTATTCTGCTGCTCTCACTCCTTCCTTTTCTTAGAATCATGAAAGCTATCATTTCACAATCATTTTCATTCAAATTACCTTCAACCTTCAGATTCACTATGAATTCTTCCCTGTTGGTCAGAATCAAATCTAAAATGGCTGTCCCTATGCTTACTTTCTCCACCTTCTAAAACAAAAAAATTGTCTCCAATACATTCCAAAAACTTATTGGAAATTTTGTGTTTTGGCATTTTATTTTTCCAACAAATGTCTGGGCTACCAGGTCTTGTGTTGGATTCCTGTTTGTTCTAGAAATGCCTCTTCCAGACTTGGGGGTCTATAGTAGACCCCTATCATGGTGTCACCCCTATTATTTTTACCCAATGACTTTCAACTGTTCTGCCTTTCACCTCCTTCATCAGAACAAGTGTATATATTCTTATATAATGCAACACCGCCTCCTTTTTTTAATCATGTCTGTCCTCCCTGAACATTGATGGGTATAACACAACTTCTTTGAAGCCACTCAGTTAGGAGCCATTGCTCTTGCCACAAATCACATCAAGTCCCAGGAAAAATTGCTAAAAACATTTTACACACATCTGCAAGGACCTGATCTGAATGTAAATCCAAGGCTTCACACCCAAAGCAAGATTCATATCCCTATGCGATGAACCATTTGATTGCCAAGTAGTAAGTTTTCCTTACTAAGTACATGAATCATTTCTTGTCTGAATAGCCAGTTGAAGCTTTGAAATTTTGGTGTACTGTCCTCATTTTTATGGTCTTTGGGATTTTTTGGAAGGTTTGACTATATTTTTTATTGGTGGGACTAGTGCTGTACCAAACTTAGGTTCTTAAATTTAGGAAATTTTAGGTTTCATTTCATTTCAGTTTAACATTTGGTTTTAATCAGCAGCACACTTTTTGGATCTGATGTTCTCAAAGCAAGAGATAAGCAAAATTAGAGTAAGTGGAAGCAATATTATTAATATTAATGAGCTCCTCACCTGCAACTGGCTTTCTGTCTCATAGGAGTCAGTGTTTTTAGTTTTTTGGGGGTGGGTGTTTCTCTCTTTCGGTAATGTGTATGTTACTTACCCTGGCTGTTTACAGGAGAAAGATAGCACATTATGCATAGCTCAGCCTCTGAAGCCCCATGCACTGGCAGAGCAAGGGTCTGTGGCTCATTGGAAGCAGGGCATAGCTCCCGCTCTGATGCTCCTGAAAAGCAGTGTACAGCACCTCTTGAACTTGGTTCAATGCTTACAGGGCTTCTTTGCTGCTGTAGTACAGGGCAAAGGGAGTTCAGTCAAGAAGTGCTATTCTGGAGGAACTAGAGGGTTAGAGCGTCAATGCTCCAGTAAGTTCTCAGCTCAGAAGAGGGAGAGAAGAACTAGAAGCTGAAATGAAGTCACTACGGCATAAATAAATAAATAAATTTGTTAAAACAAATTGGTTGGGAGAAACTGAACTACCAACTTGTTCCTCGGCCTGAGGCAGCAATTTTGGTGGCCTAAGCCAAAGGGAAGGGCTTAGTCCCAGAGCTCCCAGCAACAACAGTGGATCGCCTCCAAATTCTAGAGGTAGGAGGAATTACCCATTCGTTATGAATAATGAGAGGAACTATGCAGCAGAAGTCTGTTGCCTATAACATTCAGAGTTGCCTCTTGCTAGCGTTTTCCTTTCAAATCAGTACAAGTAATTTCCTCTGTATCAGACTGCTTTTAAGGGACAGGATTTAAGCAGTTCTTTATTATTGGTTTTCCTGCTTGTAATGCCTCTCAGGCCCCGTTCTGGATAACAAGGCCTCTGAAAATAAGGACTACTTGGGAGGAGAGTGCTGGAATTCAGGTTGCATGGATCAAAAGTGATGTGATTAGGAATGATCTTTTCAAAAATTAATTAAAACAATTCAGCATTTGCAACTATCTTTCACATTATAAGTATCTATCTAAAGTGGGTCAAATATTTAACACCTCCCCGTCTTTTTTTTATAAAATGTTTTTCAATACAGTTCTCTCATTTCCTCTTCATCTTGTTTCTCTCCCCGCCCCAAAGAGAGAACCAATTTCTTAGTGTATGTGCGTAAACAGTTCCTTATTTAGAAGCTGTTTATGTAACACTGTATTTATTCCTCTTTCTAGTTCTTTAGTCACTGGCGTGGCTTTCAAGGTCCTGGTTACAGACAACAAAACAGATATTTTAATAAAATGTTGACCTTAAATTCAGTGCTCTTAACAAGATATATAATGTAAGTGAAAGATTTAGAGATTTTATTTTCTAAGGCAGCATATTGAAGTTTCAGTTTAGTGTATTATTTGAATCATCCTCTTCTCTCTAGTATACTGCACAAACGTGTAAGCAGACAGAAATAATCATATGGAATGTGTCACCAGTTCTGAATTAAATGAAGGATTATTCTGCAAAGCTCTTTGAACCACAACATCACTAACAGAAACGTAGCACAAATATATTTTTGAGAGTGCTTTATTTTAATATGAGATTTAGTACAAATTATTAATTAAAACGATTTTAATCGCCCCAGGTGTGTATAAGAAGTCCTCTTTCTCCTATGCCTCCCACTTCCAAGTTTGCAGCTAGTGCCATGGAGATGTATTTTGTTGAAGAAAGGCAAAGTTATGACAATGTACATCTCTTTTCCATGAGAGTTTTGCATAACTAGTTCCTTGGGACTTGCTGAAAGTTATTAGAAATTGAGATACAGGTCTTTTTTCACTGGTTTTCTATTTCTTCGAATGCTTTAAGTTCTGTAAGACTCAGAAGATCCATGAATGTGGCTCAAAATCCAGAACCATGCCCAGCTCACTCTCAATCATTTGATTTGATAGATTCAGAATATCCTCTGCAAATATATCCAGAATAGAAGTTTATTTAACATTTCAGTAGTGTCTTCAACAAAGAGAACTAAGTTTGTCAGTTCAAACAGAAAGCCTTTGAAAGAGACATTTCTTTGTAAATCTTGCTTGACATGGAAAAAGTCCATCTAAATTAAAGCTTTATTCTATTTGATACAGAACTAGAGTGGATCCCAATATCAAACATACTAGCTGATGTAAGCCAGAGTGTTCTCGGTTTCATTCAGGGCTCTCATGAATACTGTGGTATGATGACCTTAACTCTGAAGACGACTTGTCTTTTCCTCACCAATACAAAATCTGTAGCAATTACAAGTTTAATATCAGAGTAAGCAACAAGCACAATAAAGAACACTGAAGCAGAGGAATATCATCCTGTGTGAGATATCCATAGTAGGTCAAGTTATTTGTCACAAATAATGTATTCTTTTCCTGATCAATCTGAACAGGATTTTTACTAATTTATCCATTATGCAGAATTGCTCAGATATGTTGTGCAAACTTGTTTCAACCTATAGATTTGTTCTCCAACTATTTGCTGCAAGCATCTGAGTATTCAAAATTTGCTATTTGGGCTGCGTGATTGGTCATTTAAGTCACAGGTGGTTATTTCTGTTCCCTGGTTTTAATGACCTAATCTTGAACAGTAGAACGTCTGAAGAAACCATTTGGGCATTGGTTCTCAGGGAGTGGGCAAAGAGCCCTTGAAGAAAGAAAAGGTAAAAAAGTTACAGAGTTTTATGACATTAATTTTTTTCCTGTCCTCCTTTGTACAAGAATGAGCATTAGATTTGATTAAGTCCTTGGACTGCACATTTAAAGGATACTTGGGTTCCTTCCTGATTAATAAAGGCGTAAGCAGTATTTCTTGACTGTTTACATTCTTCATAGTCAATTCTCCCAGAGTCATGAAGTAATTGTATTTGCATGTATACACACATGCTATTTGGGAAGGGTACAGTAATCTGTCCTATGTCGTCTTTAATTGCTAGATTGCCACAGTTCTGGCCAGTTAGTATGGGAAGCTGCTATGTATTCCCCACCACTGATATAGCACACACTTTTATATATTTGCCAGGTCACAACTCCTTCAGTTTTGATAGTTATACAGCTCAACATGATCATTTTAAATTCTATGAATTTATTCTGGCTATTTAGAAAAAATGAAGTTATTAGTTGTACACAAATATATATTTGTATGAACTACAGACCAAGCAGAAAAGGAACCTTAAGAAAGTCACCATAAATACCAGGCCAAATATTGCACATTTATTAAGACACAACAAAGAAGGGTTGTTTTGGTAGCTGATCTGAGAGCAAATATTAATTTCTAAATGAATATATCTTCTCCAAATATACTCCCCTAAATTATATCAATTCAATTTCTTTAGTACATCTGGGGAATTCACTCTCACCTGTTCTCTTTGTTGCAATAATCTGGGATATTCCTTTCAAATCTTGTAGCAATTCCTGTTTTGGTCTCCATTTTCATTACTGTAGGTGTATCTGTTTTGGGATTATACTTTGATAATATCTAAAATAAAACATTAAAGGGATTAAAGAGGTAATTATCTGAGCAAGAATTCCATGACTATGGTTTATACATTTTCAACTGAAAGCAGCAAAGAATTTCCAGATTCAAATCTGGTAAAATGAAGTAGTCTTTCCACACCACTGATCTGATAACAGAATGCAGATTCCACAGGCACAAACACACACAAGAAGTAAGTAAAAACAACCTGCAGAATGTCTTCTGGTATCTTTGTTATTTCTGGAGGCGGAGGAGTATTAAGGAGATTTTCATAGTCAGATATTTTTGGAAGAGAGGGTCTTCCGAGATGTTCAAGATACTTGTCAGAACTTAAAATAGGAGGAGCACAATCTTCTTTGTGTTGTTCAACTGTCACATCAATCTCTGGCAATGACTCAGCCTTGTTCCCCTTTAATGGCTGTATAAAAGATGATAATTGTATTCAAATTTATAGTAAAATGTCTTCAACTAGTTTAGTTTTATTAGACAAATTAAGAATGCTATTAATTACTTCAAGTTGATGTTACGGAGATTGGTTCTACAGTGATACACTTGCCCACAAAAGCAGTGTGGGAAGGGAAGGCCATTACTGACTCATTTAAAAAATTATATCTAAGTACATTTTCACTTGTCACTGAGTAAATATGATTACTAAAATGATATTTAAGGACTTACTTTACTTTCTGTTTTTAGCCAGCCTGTTTCAAAGTCTGGAAGAGTGGGTGTTGCTGTCTGATTAGAAATATTTGATTCTTTCATCTTTGGGGATTTGGGTAAGATGGTATTGTCCTTTCTGGAAGGAATTTTCAGACCAGGAGTGCAGAACACGGGTATCAAAGGAGAAGCCAGGCAATCAACAGCTAAAATAATGGATATGAGTAATAATTTTACATGCTTGAATACATAGGGCATCTATAACAGTTCAATTTTACAATTCTGTATTAGAGACTGCAATAACAATTTCTGTGTATTTACACATCCCAAAACAGCATGAAAATATATAATACTAGCTGACCATTTTACCACGGTGAAGACATAACTAAATTAGAAGGATCTTTAAGGTTAGACGCTTTAGTCCATCTATACAATGCAAATTTTAGATTCAAATCCATAGCAATATCCACATTCAAGAACCAGTTCTCTTGCTTACAACAGATCTACATCCTATTTCTGAACAAATCTCTCACATAAACGTAGCTTCAATTTCCCCAAAGTTTAAATATCTGTCAGTGTACAATTTTGCTCTAAGATCTTCATACACCTTCTGAAGTATGTCTCATTTTTCTCTTTTAAGATACTGTACAGCTATCTTGAAAGAGTTACAAGTTATAATATCAGGTCAGCTTATTCCAACGTAATTTCATTCCTGTTCTTTTAATAAATAAGTTTAAAATTACTGAAGCAACGATTAAGTTCTGAAGGTGAAAGACTCACAGAGTAACATATTTGGTCTCTGTGGATGATGGTGTTGGAGATAGGAGAGAAAACAAATATTTATCTTTAAGTCTGGATGCTAGATTTACACACCGCCAAACCCACCTTCTTTTGTACCCTTTAAAATTAATTTTCTGAACCCTTATAATGCAAACGAGTATCAAACCTGAACTGTCAATGCAGAAAGTTTACTCCAGAATTAATTGAAAATTACCACTATTAATTACAAATAGTTTGAATTTACCATTTTCGCTAGGTGTTTTCATTGCTGGTCCAGGAGTAACCATGATTTCCCTGGACTTTGATGATGTTTCTGGTGCCACACACATTTCATTATCATCTTCCTTTGGAAAACTACAAATTGGGATTAAAAAAATAAATCAAAACTGATATTAAAATACCATGACTATGGTTCCATGATTAAAGGTATATTGTCAACTTACTAAACATTTATATAGCAGTTACACCCAGAGGCCTGATCAGGATTGTGCTAGGAATTGTATAAATACATAAGACTACACACATTCTCGTCCTCAAAGAAAGCTATGGTTCAAATCCCATAGTTCATAGCGTACAAGTGCAGCAATCTATCCATGCCCTATCAATTGCCCAAGAGATTTGAAACCTAGTCATTCCGGAAAAAAAAAAGTTAAAAGTAGTTTCAGGTTGTCTTGTCCCACACTTGATCTGATTTTAGAGTCCATATTTCCATTTTATTTTACATTGTCTCTCCCTCTTGCCTGAAATCTATACAGCAGAGGAGGGAGATTAGCAACGAGAAAGACAGAGGAAGTTGTTTCCCAGCCCTGTTTTCCCTATGACCACAGATTCCATAATTGTCCAACAGGGATTCTTGAACCTTCCCCTTAAACATAAGGTACTGACAGGTCTGATCTGATATGGGAATTCCCATGACTATACCTGAAGTGCTGTTGTATGATTTTAAGTTGATGTCTCTTTAAGGTTGCAACCAGGTTCCATTTTAAGACCCATATATTTATCTCCCTACTGGCTAGGAAAGTTAGTTTGGCTTGAAAATTGCCAAAGTCACTCAAGACTAAGGAGAATTTTTCCCCCTAAAGCTTCAGGAAAATTGGTCAAGCTGTTTGAGTTACAGGTTACGTTACACAGATTATCTACTTAATAGCAGTTCCATGAAGGTTGCAACCCAAGTTTCATTACAAGACCCATTTTCATATCTCTTATAGTTTTGCACAGGAAAAGTATTTCTAGCGAAAAAAATTGGGGAAATACTTTAAGTATGCTAGAATTATTTTTGAAAGCAATTAGTCAAACCATTTTAAGTTATAGGTGTTTAAAAATGACATTTAATAAGTCTACTTTGTGTCACTCTGGCTACAGACACATATCAAACTTTATACAGATTCTTCCCATTAAATTAATAAACTAATTAAATTTTACAGAGTCTTATTTACAAAAATTAGCCTGCTTAAAAGCATGTAAAATCTTTCTGCATACTTTATGCACTATATCCCTGACAAGAAAGAGTCCAGGAAAGAGAAAGTGCAAGAAGAGGATTGTTATCCTGCAGGGCAAATGAAACAAAAATTAAACTACAGTAATTCCTCACTTAACATCGTGCTGGTTAATGTTGTTTCATTGTTACATCGCTGATCTATTAGAGAACATACTCATTTGAAGTTGCGCAATGTTTGCTTATAACGTTGTTTGGCCGTGGGAGCTTGGAACCAGGGTGGGCCGGCAGCCTCCCATCAGCTCCCCTCCACCCCAAGTGCAGGCTCCGCAGAATGATCCAGACATGAATTGAGACTGATTCCTTTACAAGTCCACAGAGTGGGGAGAGAAATAGCAGCCATAGAATAGCCAATGGGTGGAATATATGTGGGAAATTATCATGTCAATTTTTCATATGTATAGAAAAAGGCAAAATAACTGAATTGCCTGTGCTTGTAGTATTTACAATTCGAGCCACTGGTTCTAACATACATTGGCATCATAGTAAGAGCATAATGTCTGTCTGGAGATTTGATTTTTAAAGAATTTGAATTTTAAGATTGATCAAAAAAAAAAATCCACCTACTCTGTAAGTGTGAAGGAAAAACAGCCAACTATGCTGTGATTTCTGTTTAATTCTACTACAAATTTTCCATTTGAGTTTTAAAAAATAATATAGAGTCAATTATAGAAGTCCCATGGAACTAACACTGACTTCATAATTAAAGTTGTGACAGTTTTCATTATCAGCCCTTTTTTGTCACTCCATATGCTAACTCTTTCATTAAGTGAAATAAATCATTAAGAGAAACTGTCTGAGTTGTAGAATTTAAAAGGACATTGTGAAAAAAACCACTTCACCTATTTTAATAGCCTCACTTTAGATTATAATAACCTAAATTATTTTAAAAATATAATTTACTTATTATGCTGTCAAGTATCAGAGGGGTAGTCGTGTTAGTCTGGATCTATAAAAAGCAACAGAGAGGTGCTGTGTGTGTGTGTGTGTGTGTGTGTGTGTGTATTATATATATAGTTGTGTTTTTTTCAAAATGCAACACTAACAAAGCTGGAAATCAATATGAAAAAAAGGATCACATACCATCAGAAAATTGCAAGTAACTAGTACAATCAGAGGAAACTACTACAGAAAACACAGGATAGTCTGAAGTTAAAAACATCTACTTACTTTTTTCTTGTCTGAACATTTTTATTAATAAGTGCCATTGTATAGTCTTCATTCAAACACATGGTATGTTCACTAATGCCAAAATGTTCAAGCTTTGGAGTTAAACACTCATAATCATCCATCTTTAATGTACATTTTGGTGTTTTGGGCACTATATATGGGTTCTGTTTGGGAGTTGGAATTCTATTTCTTGAATCTTCTTTATGCATATTTGTATGGGATTGTACATCCATCACATCCCAAGTTCTGGAGAATGCGTACTGTGAAAGACCGAAATCTGAAAGCTGTGGGTTACGCAGGGGATCCTTAGGCATAGATGTTTTCCCAATACAAGCAGGAAAGCTAGACATATCTTCCACTTTCTCTTGATCAGAGTTAGCTTGGTCAGATACCTTAGATGCATGGTTAACTTCCTCCTCGTTCTTCACTGTTTTATTAAAAACAAAGGATACTTCAGAAATTTCAGTTACCACTTAAGAACTGTTTATAGACTAATAAAACAAGACTTATTTTGTAATCCTAGGCTAAATATGATATATAATGGACTTATTTTCATTTTACTTCTTAATCTCTACAATCAGATATGCTGGCACAGTCCCCTGCTCTTGTGCAGAGGTGCCGTGTAGTCAATGGCTATGGTTGTAAAATTGAAATCCTGTTAAATGTAACAGGAATCCAAAGGAACTTCTGGTGTACTTATTTCAATAAAGAAATGGTTAAAAGAAAAGAATATTTTAACTCTCCTACACAATGATCACTAAAATCTGAAAACTATAAAAAGCAAATTAATATGTACCAAAATGTTGAGGGCTATGGAGGGAGAGAGAATAATGTTTACTTTTAAACAAAAAGGCAATTCATTTGAAAAATGAAGTAAATATTTTCTTGATACTAGAAGGTGCCACTGGAAATGAAACGAAACCCTACAATGGAAAAAGAAGAACAGGAGGACTTGTGGCACCTTAGAGACTAACAAATTTATTAGAGCATAAGCTTTCGTGGACTACAGCCCACTTCTTCGGATGCATATAGAATGGAACATATATTGAGGAGATATATATACACACATACAGAGAGCATAAACAGGTGGGAGTTGTCTTACCACCTCTGAGAGGCCAATTAATTAAGAGAAAAAAACTTCTGAAGTGATAATCAAGCTAGCCCAGTACAGACAGTTACTCTAAGGTGCCACAAGTCCTCCTGTTCTTCTTTTTGCGGATACAGACTAACACGGCTGCTACTCTGAAACCTTTCATTATACAATGGAAAGGTGGTTAAAAACACACATTTTCTCAAATTCAGGGAATATTATTTGGAGAAGGAGGAAAGATTATAGAAGAAAGTGTAGCAACAGCTGGACTGCTCTTAAGAAAAACAACACCGACAAAGAGTTAATAGAAAACTGTGAAAATGTGCACAAGCACAATGTAAAAAAATCAAGAGGAACGAAGAAGATCCCACTGCAAAGGTAACTGAGTGTCCAAATCCTACGTTATGTTCAGAAACTAAGACACTCAAGAAAACAACACTTGCAAATTCCTACAAATTATAGCAACTAAAAGAAAGCCATTCAAATGATAGTATAAGTAGCAGGAGTGCCAGTGGTGACACTTCTGAAAATGCTTTAGTATTGCACATATTTACTGATTTTCTTTAAAATTTAATATAATACTGTTAAGGGTTTATATTAGTCCTCAAGTATTACTGGGATTTTTATATCAATAAGGAGTAGACTGGGGAAAGTTGAGGCAACATTAAAGAAGAAGAGACACCACTAGATAATCATTTGGTTTTGTCTAAGGCCTTTGTCCGTGCAAAACTGGTTTAACAATGTGATTTTAAAACAATTTAATTAAACTGGTGCAAGCCGCTGGATGGACACTTATTTTGGTTTAAACCAGCTTTATTTCAGTTTGATTTAAGCTAAACTGAAAAAAGCCATTCAAACCAATATAAGAGTACAGGGGTATGAACTGATTTAAGTGAAACCAGTGCAATAGCTCATGTAGACAAAGCCTCTGCTAGGATAACAAATTGGGTTAAGAAGACATGTTACATGTTTTAACATGCTGTTAATTATCAGTTAGTATTCAATATAGAACAAGACAGTTATGTTTAAAAACCACATCAAATGGTCTTAACTCTAGAACCTTTGTCATTTTGTCCATGTGTTTACAGCACCCAGCACAATGGGACCCCAAATCTTTGAGTATTACTGTAAAACAAATACTATTATGGCCCACATTAATGACACCTGAAATGAAAGATAGATTACAAGGTCAGGGAGTGTAATTTTATGCATGTTACTGTGATATTTAACTTGTCCATGCAACAAGGGTAAAAATTTCAAGTTGCATACTATTTCAAGGGTTTACAAATAGACCTACTGTTAGAAATGTTAATGCAAAGAAATCTGGCTAAGCCTGTATTATGTTTTGTAACTAGTTTATAATATTAGCACATTTGGTCTGTGCTTTAATACAGAGATGCTTACAATTAGGGCAATGTTTTATCAGAAATCATATTTTTAATCTTCCAAAGGTTCTACAGTATTTTCAAGTAGTATTACCTGAGTTATCTTTAACAAGTGGTTGATAACCATATTTCTGGAACAGTTCTCTTATTTTTTCAAGATCTGTTGTATTTCTTTGCATCAGTACTTTAATGGCCTTCATGAAATCATAAGTTTCTTGTCTTTCAGAGCGACTCTGATCAACGGTAGCGTTAACATCACCCTTTGAAGGAAAAAAGTAGAGGCGTGAGTTTTAAAATACTAATTTACAAAGAGCTTTGTTCTTCCCTAGTTTTGTTCAAAGATCAGTGGGGAATAAAGTATACAATATATTTATTGTATGCTTCATCAAATGGGTGAGTGTATTGACTCTTTAAATAAAGGCTTCTTTTATTTAAAAGGCTAGTCACTGAAGATACACATGTAAAAAACAAATGCAAAATTTTTAAACAGCTTTTAAACATCTTCTCTTCAGAACACACTGTTTTGGTTGAAATTTTCCTGGTATGTACCTGGACCCCTTAACACCCAGCCCTCCCACCATGTATGTACTTCCCCAGATCACTCCTAGAATGTTTTCTAAACATAAATACAACATTTGCTACTCTCTAGTCCTCTGGCACAGTAGCTGTTGTTAATGAGAGATTGCATATTTTTGCTAGAAGCTCAGCCACTTAATACCTGAGCTCCTTTGAGGGTAATCAGCTGTTGTTCTTGAAAGTTTATACACCAAAGTTGCCAGTAAAAAAAGGGTTAATAAATATGTGCAGCTGTTGGCACCCAAGAGCCAATAGATAAAATCATCATCAGCTGCGCACTTCTGCTTCCACACAGGCCTCCTCCCTTTACCCAGTTCCCCATCCCTACTTAATCATTACAAAACTAGGAAATGCACAGATCTTTGCTATGAAGTAGTTTTGTTGCTACACACAACATATTTGACACAAAATCAGTAAATGAAAAGTTAAGCCACCTAACAGTACATATGTTCTATTCCTCCACCCAAAGGAAACTTACCATTATCAAAACTACTGTGCACCAGTCCATGTACCACAACTATAACGCTGTCCTAGGGAAGCCAGCCTTCCACCACCCACTTTATCAAACTACCTTCTACTAACACAATACACTCTTACCTAATATCCACAACTAATAATGTTGGGAGGAGGTACTTTGATTAAAGGGGTATGTGGAGAAGGCTGGGTTGAGTGAGGCAGTTATGGGTGTGGTGTGCTATGTATGGTAGTTGTGGTAATAGTAAATAGGTGCCCATACGTGATGGAGGGGAGTATGTACTATTAGGTGGGTTAACTCCATTTAAGTGCTTTTGGGAGTGTGTCAAGTATACGTGTCACAACCATACCAGCTTCACAAAGTTTTGTGTATATTAATAAGGAAACCAAAAAGTGTACAAACTTAATTTTTTTATTTTTTTGCTTTGATAATGGGAAGGAAGTGGAACACAATATTCACCACCTTCAATTTCCACCAGTTACCTTGCTATATGGAACAACATGCTTATGTCTGAAGTATATCCTACAGCAGAAATATAAAAATATGTACGAAGTTATGGTAGCAATAAAACATGTTGGGAATTTGGGGACTGGAAGGCTCAGACTTTCCCCTATAAGTCAGTACTTCAAATAGACTAATCTGGTTCAAATTCAATCCCAGTGTGCAGAAATGAAGAGTTATTAAAACTTGCTGGCTGGATAGAACATTACAGCACAATTGTCACCATATTTTACACTAACCAGTAGATAGTGGAAGCTCTTAAAAAAGAAGATTTAATCTAAGATGCTTAGTAGTTGACTTCAAACAGAATTTGTAATTCTCAGTCCTTGTCTCTACTTTCTCACTGAGGAAAGGTCTTGAGATGTTGCTGCTCTGATATTATGGGATCAGAGCATTGCCCACACAGCAGTTAAGTAGAGTTAGAGTTCCAGATTGTGGGAAGGAAGCATTTCTTCTCATCTAAGGCTCCAGGATTGGATACTGCCCTTTTGCATATTTCAACCAAAATACCTGCAGCTAGCTAGAATGTTAGATAGTGGGGAAGGGAGGAAATTTAAGAGTGATGGAACTGTCAAACAAATTAGAACGTTAGAAGATTTTAAAAAAGAACAGGAGTACTTGTGGCACCTTAGAGACTAACAAATTTATTAGAGCATAAGCTTTCGTGGACTACAGCCCACTTCTTCGGATGCATATAGAATGGAACATATATTGA